AGCAACAAAGGAGCTAATCTTCCTCATTTTTTTAAAGTGCAGATCAAAGCAATTTAAGCTTATTTTGTTTCCTCCCAACCCATCTTTTCAATCCAATTAAAGAAACTGGCATTTACAAACCATCGTGTTTTCCTCACAGTATGGAGATTAGAAAGAAATCGTTGCTTGAGAGTGGTCTCCATCTACAGAAATAAGCAACTTGCCATTTTATTTGATCAACACTGTGTGAAGAGAGCCTTAATTTTCACAGCCACAGTTTTGTTCTCCCGCAGTGCTGTCTGCTTTGCTGTGATGCCTTTGAAGAAGCCAGCAGGAGCTGTGTATGTCACCGAAATCATTCGATGGGCATTGTCTACATGCAACTCAGCAGAAGAACAGCTTTGTTGGGGTTGCCCAGCAAATTTCCATCCCCAAGTCATGCGAGCTCGCTCTTTCGGGCTGGCAAATGCTTTTGTGGAAAGCAAAACTAAAGCTCTCACACAAAACCTGCTTGATTTCACATATACAGCACTCACAAATCACCCTCCCTAAACCTCTCTTTTGCATTAGCAACACCATGTTAAGTATGGCTGTGACTGTAACCTTCCGGATTGGATGACAGAATCATAGCGGAAGAAAAAATTGAAGATCATGCACCTGCATTTCTTGCTAAGTGCAGGCAAGGGGTCATTCCTCCATCCATTTCTCCTGTATCAGTGAGAAGTCAAAAAGAGTTATTGCAGGTTATTGATCTGGGACTGAAGTTATGGAAATTCTAATAATTATTTGAGCAAGTCACTTGTGGGGATGAAATGAGTGACCTGATTCACGTGGTTCAACAACTCAGCTTGGCTGATTGAACATGTTGTTGTGTTGTGTGAACTCAGTGTGGTTTTTGCAGTGTGGCTTACTTTTCACAAACAAGCCTCTATGAGAAATTGTAGTTTATTTCAGCGTTGTTCATACCCATGGATGCCTGAGGTGCCATCTAGAACTAGCAAGGCAAGTTGATTGCGGGTTGTTAGGAATGGAAAGAGAGCCACCTGGTGCTGGGGATGAAACAGGCAGTTGTTCTTGGGGAGTGATTCAGGGCTCTTCTGATGGGGAGGAGCAGCCCTTGGAAATGGGGCCTCGGGATATCAAGATGGAAGAGGTAGGAGGGCTTATCTCAAGGAGGAACCTTGACCCCATGATGTGGCATTGGGAGAGAAGGGCTGGCCAACTAGAGGGGCAGCATACAGCTGAGAGGCTGGCCCACCTCCAGAAGGGCCCTCCCAGAGGGATGGGATCCAGGGAACCTCAAAAGGAGGGGGTTTGGAATTAGTTTCTCATTTGGGTTCAACAAACTGCTCTGTGGATGCTCAGAGAGTCTTTCTTTGCGGGTGATGCTTTCCTGGATGTACACTGGAAAATAAAGAGCTTTTGCCAAAGAACCATCTGTTGTTCTAGAAGAGTGAAGGGAAAAACCTATTCCCCAAAACCCATTAAGAGAAGCAAGCTCTCCTACTGCCAGTCTTCACAACCTTGCTAATGCCACTCGACCCTTCTCAGCGTCCTCCATCAGGTGGTCCTAGCAGTAGAAACAAAGGACATCTGAGAGTATCACAAAGAGGTTCACATATTTTTATTTCACTTTGGACCTTTACAAGTGAGTGGGCACAAATATCAGTTGCTAGGAAATCTGTTTCAATGTTCCTTCTGCTTACGATTTGCACAGGTTTTCCATCCCTGTTACTGCTTTGCTATTTATGAATGTTTTGAGATCCTGCTGGGGTTTCTGCATGTCTGTGTGACAGCCAGCAGAAGAAACTGTGGATGGATCCAAAAGCATGAATTGGGGTGGGGAGCTGAAAGCGGCCAGCTGAGAAAGAAAAGAAAGAGGTTCATGTAGTGAAGCAGTCTTTAAAAAAGGGAAAGGGAAAGGGAAAGGGAAAGGGAAAGGGAAAGGGAAAGGGAAAGGGAAAGGAAAAGGAGGAGGGAAAAGCATTTGCTAGCAGGCTGAAGTGGAGGACATGTAGAGGAATGGGATCGAAATAGGTCTGGCTGAATAGCAGGGAGGTGGTCTTGCACAGGGGTGCAAATTCCAAACAGAACTTTTATTTCAAGGAGGAATGCATGTCCACATCCACAAGAACTGTGCAAAATATTTCCTCTGTGTGATCTGGTGTGGTGGGGGGACCTGAAGTGGCCTGTGGCTGCTGGAAAAAAGGAACTATGAAGGAGCCTTTCAAGCAAAGGAGATTGGTAGCAAGGGAAGCCCCCAAAATGGCGGACAACATTGACCAGACATGGACGAGAGGGGGAAATAGCAGGCAGGTGGCCTTGCACTCTTGTGCAAAAGCACAATTCCCAGAAATCTTAAACTAGTTTCCAACTGCCGTGCCACATTCATAAGAGCTAAAGAATGGGAATTGTATTTAGTGAGCTGATGCAGGGAGGGACAAATTTCCTTTGGGAAGAGCAGCTCCGGAAGACCAATTGCAGGAAGGGAGGAGCTGATGGAGGACTTCTTTGCATTTAGCAGGCAATGTAGGAGCATGATCCTGGTTCAGTCCTGGCTGTGGGCTACCCAGGGGCCACTATTTGGCTGCAGTGGGAGTGCAGTCCTGGATGAGCTGGGATTTTTGGTGTGACCCTGTACCACCCCAGCTCTGTAGTGACAGAATATATTTATATGCATTTTTCCTCAGAATAGAGTTTTCCAGGCACTCTAAGTCTGCACCACTACATTAAAGAAAGGGAAGTAGCTATATTCCAATACACACATTAATCCAGAAAGGATGAATCAGACCAGCTCATGCCTGAAGTCAAAAGATCAAATGCTCTTCATCCTTAGCTTCAGCTAATTCTCAGCACTTTTATAAAGCAGAAAATGGATCCTGTGCTAAGTATCTTACAGGAAGGCCTGAATGCACAAAAGCAGTCCACTTACGGTGCCCTATGCCAGACCACTCCATGGACTTTGGACCACTTTATAATTATTACTGTTGTATAGAGTAGGATGCCTGCATGGACACGCGGGACATAATTCTGTATACCTCTACAATGACTCCCTTACTCACCATTTTCCCTAAGCAAAACAATCTCAAATGTTGCAATGTTTCATTATACAGGACTCGAGAATCTAGCTCCTTGAGCATTTTAGTTACCCTTCTTTGCACTTTTCTGAACTTGGTGTCTGTTTTCATCAGGTGCAGTGAGCAGAAATATCCTAAGTGGTGTTGTGTTACAGATTTGTAACAAGAAAGTATGGAATTTACAGATTTATTTTCAATTCCTTTACTAATTATGCCTAACATGGACCTTGCCCTTTTCACAGCAACTATACATTGGGCTGTCCACCACAACCCCAAGACCCCTTTCTTGATCAGTCACTGCTAGCTCTGATACCATCAGCCTCAACTTGAAGTTGGAATTTTTTTTTTTTTTTTGCCCCAAATGCATCGCTTTACATTTACTTAACACTGTGGGTCCTAAATCAAATCAAGCCAGAGCTTTCCCTAGAAGCAACAATGACAAAACTGAGGATGTCATGCTTTGGACACATCATGAGAAGGCAAGACTCCCTGGAGAAGACAATCATGCTAAGAAAAGTTGAAGGCAGAAGGAAAGGAAGAGCAAATATGAGATAGAGTCCACAAAGGAAGCCTTGAATTTCAAACAGGAAATCAGTCATGTCATGATTAGAACATTTTGGAGAGCTTTCATGGGATCACCATAAGTTGGAGATGACCTGATGGTGCATAAGAATATTGAACTGCATTTGCCATTTAGATGCCTATGCTCCCAGGTTGGCAAGATCCCTTTGGAGTTCCTCACAATCCCTATTGGTTTTAACCACCAAACCAAAGTTTAATGCCATTTGCCAACTTGGCCATTTCACTGTTTACTCCTCAGTCCAAATCATTTATGAGTAGGCTGAAAAGCATTGGTCCCAATGTCAATGCTAACTCCTTTCCAAAACCATCTCCTTTGGAAGACGGTTCATGAGTCTGTGGCATCATTTCAGAGACAAATGACGGCTTCCATGGAGATCTATGTAGTACCACTGAGGGGCTACTGAATGGCCAGATGTCCTCACTCCTTCCATCAAAGGCAGGAGGAGGCCATTCTTGGCAGTGGGAACTGAAAGAGTGCCATCCAATAAGTTCAAGCAATAACATTTCCAAGGGAAAATGCATGTGAAAGAGAAATCTGCTCCAAAGAACTCTGAATTAATTTTGATGGATTCCAGCCCATAATAAATTACACCTAAATGCTATATTCCCTCTTGGATTAAGTAGAACTTTACTTCTGAGGGAGTAGGTATAGCATTAGGGAGAATGTGGAGATAAGTCCGTTATCCTTCTAGTGCTGCAGTGCACAGAAGCTGCTCTGCTGACTTCCACATTCATGCACATGGAGAGATTTGCAGGGTTAACCCTGCCCACTGCATGTTGCCTGGCTGATGAATATTCATTGGATACCCATCAAACAACAAGCTGTTAAGGAGCACACAGCAGCAGGAAACACCACCTCCAATATAGCCACTTTCACGCATGAGTCACATTGAACAGGCTCCCTGCAATGCAGGGGAACAAGTTCTCTTACAAGCCCTTGACACCATGTGGCTTTCCTGCTCATCTGATGAGGGCAGTGGCTGGCAGGGATGTCCGTGTGACATTCACCAGAAGAGGAGCCAGCATGCATGCAGCAACCTTGTGTGATCAAGCCTCCATGGGGCCCTGCACCCCTGCTTCCCCCCTTATCCCCACCAAGATCTCAGCCAGAGTTTCCTGGCACGAGCCCTCCAACTTATATTCTATTTTCACAAGAGACTGATGTAAGAATGCAGTTCATTTTATTAGAGACAAGGGATTTCACACAGAACTTTGAAGCAGCCACAGATTTGGCAACAAGGCAAGTTATGCAGAGGTTCAACTTTATACTAAAAATATCATAACCATGGTCCCTCTTTAAGAAATGCTTCAGCAACAGAATAAATAGACTAGCTCCAAAATAGGCCCTCAAATATCAATCCTTTAGAGGTTGACAGGTTGGTTAATTTCCTCTTCTGTTTTGGGATCTGCAGCTGGTTCTTCAGCAGGTGTAAAAGGACCCACAAGCCAAATAAGATGAACATTGTGAACCAAATAATCGAGTAACCCATCCAGAGACTCCTGTGCTTTGCGTATTTCCTGTTTGCTCTGAGACACCATGCTGTCAGAAATATCCTGGAAGGAAGCTGCTGCACTGAAGGAGGCATGAAGTTCAACAACACTATTCTGGACCTGCAGGACATGTTCTAGGATCTTGTCCGGTAGCCCCCGAGTATTAGAAACCAGGTCACAACAGGTGGCCTGCAGCTGCTCGGTGATGTTGTGCAATCCCACTAGCACAGAAGATTCTATTTGCTGCCAAGAAAGAATCAGAGGCATCAAGAGTTAGGGTTAGAGGCATCTATTGCTCAACTACCTGCCCTCAAAATGGTTAAATGAATCCTACATTCCCCTCTGTGATCCTACGATGTTGTGATGCACCCGCATGCTAATTCTGCATTCGAATTAGTTGGTGCCCTGTTCCAAATAGCTTCAGAAGATACCTCTGGATTTGCCAAGCTCTCCTCTTGACCCTCTCCTTGGTCTGGTGTGTACCACTGCAGCCACATCTTGTTCAGCTGCTCCTGGAGATCGTCACATTTTAGATCAGCAGCCTGCTTGGAATATTGGATCTACAGGACAAAAATACAATTAGAAAGACATCAAAAGACCGTGAATGTCAGAATTGTTATCTGTTGGCCTGTTAATTAAGAACCATTCTAGGAAAGATTTGAGAAGTCACAGACATGAGCACCAGTCATTACTAGGCACTGCATAGATGTGAGATCTGTTTAATGTAAAGCCAATTAGAAGAACTGCAAAAGGTTCCACTTTAGACTTGTACCAGTGAGTCTTCAGCCACACTCACAAGGAGCTAAGTGCCAATACAATCAGGTCAAAGACTGAATTATTTTGCTGGCTATCCACATCGTGTTTAAATACACAAAAAGATGTTTTTAAGGCAATAACCTTAACCTGGTTCAAACATGTTTGATTAATAACAACTTACTCCAGGAGAAGATCAATTTTTTGTGCTTCAGTTCCTCATGTAACAGAAAGCGGAAATCAACAGCTTGAGTTCCACTTTGAAGCTCAGGCCAACTTCTGAGCTTTTCTCAGGAAAATCCTGAAGCGATTGGGTGCATTTTTGAACACCCTTCACCAAGATGAAGTATGAACTCTGACCACTGATTGCACTCAATAGGTGCAAAAGGGGTAAATTATGGCTGTAAATTGAAACTCCTCTCTCAGACATGCCTATTCATACGCTTGGCCCAAGCTTCCAAATACACCTCAGGTAATTTTACACTACTAGGTCCTGTCTGCAGTGGATCTTCCTACCAGATCAATCATTTGATGAATCTTGGAAAGTCCATCCTGAATAGTTTGGTTCACTTTCTTCACTTTGGCCACTGAATGCAGGTAAGCACGCCGGCGCAGTTTGGGTGGGAACGAGCCCAAGTGTGCATAGTAGGCCCTTTGCTGTTTCTGTTCTTCCACAGTAACTGAATTAAGCCCTTCAACAGAACTTGCAAGCTTAGCTGAAAAGGAGGGGAGACAGTGTTTCATTTCAGATAATGCCTGTTTGCAGCAATAAGCTGTTCAATTGATGAACTTCAACCTTTCCCATCCATACAAATTTGGCCGTGTTGTGCTGGGAATATTCCAGATCATGTATACCCGCTCTGGCACTGCAACGGAAGTTTGATCTTTGCTAAGTGTTACATTGTTGTACTCCGTTTCAAGTGTGGAAGTTTTCCTTTACATTCAAGCCTGAGATCTTTTGCTCTTTCTCAAAAGGCACATTTTCATGCTAAGTCCTTGCAATTAAGCCATAGTAGGTTGGTCGGTTGGACATCCCATGGTGTGCCAGCAGACAATTTGGCTTACCGTGGGTGGTTGTAACTAGTTGGGAGACAGAGGGGGACAATATTCATTCAAGCATCTCATCTCCCCCTTCCCACTCTGATCACTCCTTTTTATTTGCAGTCTTTTAAACATCTTTATCTTTGGAGCACCAAAAGTACAATTAAGAACCTACTTGCCCTGTGGACAATTGTATTTCTAATTTTTAAAACTAATTTGTGTCAGTCTTTTACAAGAATGAGCCTACGGCTGTTTGAGACATGTAGCCTTGCCTGGTCAGTTTCCTCATAAGTCCGAGCAGTCAAGCACAGCAGCAAAGAAGAATGAGCAGCACACATGGAAATTAAAACAGTGGAGCTGCATTTAGGCTAATTTGCACACAGTTGCTAGCTACCAGTGCCAAGTTGTCAATTGAAAAGCACCAGCACAGGGGAAAGAATTGCAAAACAGTACAGAAAAGTGCTTGGGGAGGAACAATGTAATCCTCTTGATTTTAAGTGCTGAATTAACATTTCTCATTGCCCCCTGCCTTTTCAACATTCCCGAGTCTGAAAGGGGAGATATTACCCTCTCCTTTTCAGAGCACTTGGCACTGAGCTTATTTGACAATTCTAACAACAATGCAGAAATATGCCATTGAAGGGTTGGAAAGCAGATGGAGGGAGGAAAGTGCATGCACTAGCAGTAGCTGATCAAAAAGGTGGTGGGGTTAACTAGCTAGTTGACCCTTCCCTCTGGGGCCGCAAGTTTATCTCACTCCCCATGATGCTGGCAATAAGTCCCCCAATCTGAATTCATGGGGATGAAAAGACCTAATATTCAACGTGGGATATTGTGATAATCTCAATCTTACTCCTGTATGCTACCCAGGGAGCTCATTTGAGCTGTTTGGTGGCTTGGACATATACAAAGAAATAACATGTCTGAAAGAATCAGGAGATCACGTACTTGAATTAGGCATTCAGTTCAAGTCATAGATGAGACAACTCATAAGATACAATGGAAATATTGCAGTTTACTCAAACCAAGAGCTGATGTTGTGTTTTTGCAACTATATACTGCATCAGAATAGTAAAATTGAGTTGTATGGAGTTAATTCAAGCTCTTATCCAAATCAGATAACCTATACATTTGGGACATTAGCACAGCAAAGCCAAAAGGAGAAAAAAAATAATTTTTTGGTGGGTTCCAAGTTTGGTCCTTCTGAAGAAACCTTTTCCACTGTCTCATTCTGCTTATATAACAGGTTTTAACCTGTTTTAGGATAATAGGTGTACAGCTCTGTTAATATAGGACACAGAAACCTGAAGGATATTCAGCCCAAATATCTACAAATAGAATAGCAGCAGCAGATAAACACCTCGAAGTTCTCAGGACACTCAAAACTGATTGGAATAAATGCATCTTTAGAATTCTCCTAAAGGCTAGCAAGGAGGGGGAGCATATTCATTTCCTGGGGAAGAGAAATCCAGAGATGTGGGGCCACCAAAGAAGAGGCTCTGTCTCTGCGATCTGTCTCCTCAATCTCACAGCTCTTAATGGTGAACAAGAGAGCAGGGCCTTAGGCAGACTCACACCATTACAAGCAGGCCTTCAGAGGGCCCAAAACCTTTTTAGGGCTCTGAAGGACAAGTAGGCCCAGAAAACAAATAGTCGTTTAGCATAGCTGGTGCAGAACAAGCACAATATAGTCTGAATCTCCAGCTTCTACAGATGTCCTCATTATTGCATCCTACACTAGTCACTGATTCTGGACCATCTTTACAGAGGCCGACTCACTTATTCCAAGTCACTTCTTCCTGCAGAAACCCAAAACCTTTGTATTTTCAGCCAGTGGAAGACTGAATGTTGAGAAACACAGCTGCATGGGAGATAATTATTCCAACGAGGACGTTCTTCAGAAGCTTTGTAGCAAAATGTGGAGACCAACCTCCACTGACATGGAGTCAGCTAGATGTTTGAGAACAATTCTCAGCCTTTCTCAATGTTATGCATTCTGGCTGGGGCTGATGGGAGTTGATATCTAAAATATCTGGGGGGTGTGGGGTGAGGAAAGGAGTCATCCACAACCTGGACTGCATATGCCATAGTAGCATCTCATTGCATCTCTCATTCCCTGATACTTGAAACTTGTTCAGTAATTCACAAGATCATGATCCACAAATACAAGAAATAGCATAAGATTCCAATATGCCAAATTTTTAAAACTGGAACAGCTAGAAACAGTTTCAGTAAAATGTACTGGAAGCATTTTAATGTACTGTACTCACCCAGTTCTTCATCTGTTATTGGGAGGAAATGATCCACCCAGTCCTCAGATATTCCCAGTAAGGCATCCAGGATATTGGCCATTTGGTCACCCAAAGCAGAGCCCATGATAGCACTCACGCCACTGATGACCACAGATTTGGTTGCTTCTATCCTTCCTTGCACAGCTTGTTTGGCCCTACCTGCCATGCCAGTCACTACATCCTTTGCCCCCCTAACAGCATCTTCAGCAATTGCCAGCATTAAAGTCAGATGCTCTTTGGTGTCCAAAATAACCTGGGAGAAAGAGAAAAGACAATTTAGACAGCTGTTAAAGACATGCACAAGCAGCCTCTGAACACTAAAGAACTGAGGGTTAGCATAATTTCTAGATTTGCACCTGTACATATAAAGCTTTCATTTACTAATGTATATAAATGCAGTGTCTGTTTGGAGATGCACTTTAAGTTTTTGGTGATACACAATGGCTGCTCAGTTTGAATTTTTGGAATTCAAAAGTTGGAATTGGAATTTTTCAGCCCGTTTCAGCCAGCCTTGGAATGAGATTTTACCTGCTTTGCAGTGTTCAAGAAAAAGATTTGGTTTCCTTCTTAGAATTTGGATTCTTTTGGAAAGCTCATTGCAGGTGGGAGAGATAGGAAGGGTTATGCTAAGCAGAGAAGCAAACAGAAGTGCCTGTATGCTGAAAGGTGGATTGCCAAATGAAAGAAGCCACAGTTCATCTTCTCTAAAAAGCTCTTTGGCACGATACAGCTTTTATTCCTATTTACTATATTAATATCCTGCCTTTTTCCTGCAAGGGACCTGAGCACCATATATTAGTCCCCTCTCCATTTTATCCTCACTACAACCCTGTGAGGTAGAGTAGGCTGAGAGTCTGGATCTAGCCCAAAGTCACCCGGTGAGCACAATGACCGAGGAAAGACCCAGATCACCTGCATCTCAGTCTCAGACTCTAACCACTACACCAGACTAGCTGTATTAGGCAGAAAAACTCCTTTGCCAAAGCACTGCGAACCAGTAGAGGGTACCTGGGTGACTCCAGCAATATCAATTCCACACAGTTTCTCATTCTTCCGAACTCTTTCAGCCCAGAACAACTTCCGTAAGAGTCTGAACACAAGAAGGCAGGTGCTTTGCTGCTCATAAGTGGCTGCATGTACTTTTTTGCTAATACATTTTTCCAAACTGTTTCCCATATTGTAATACATTTGTGCATGACCATCACTACTTGTGTGTGCATTTTTCCCCAGTGTGCAATTTGTTTTTGGAGTCGAGAACTCCATCCTGGTTCTTCAACAAATTTTGGTGGTTCCAGTTTGATCACTGATTTGGGACATAATAATCCAGAAGATTTGCACACACATTTGGATAGAATGAACTGCATGCATCCCTAAACCCTGACAGTACCCATAAAGCATCCATCACACACCTAACTATTCTGCAAAGAACTTCTCCCCAACTGGCAACATGCCTGAAGCCATGGCCCAACCAAGGCAGGCAAAGGTAGGAAAACTTGCCTCTGTTTTCATCACTTGGTAGAGGGGTGCTCACGCACAGCCAGTTACATACAGTAGATTATGAAGAAGCAGGTCAGCCTTCTGTAAATGAAGTTGTGCCCTTGTTCAACCCATAATAGATCTTCTTGTGCACCTTCAATCCAGTTTAAAGAGGCACCAGTCATTTTTAGAGGCTTCATTCAATTCAAAAAATCAACCTGTTCCAGTTTGGAAACTTGTTTAACCTGGGATTAATTGACCTGAACTTTGGAGATTGAGATCTGAGATTCCATTTCAGCTCTGGGGTGGGATGCAAGATCTGAGTTAGAGCGATAGTGAAGTTCTTCATATTGAACATGGGTAATTCCACCATGTCTGTGCTGCAGCCAAATCAAGTCCTTGGAAGAAAGTTCTCCTCTTTCCCCTTGCCACCCCTCTGAAAGAAATCAAATTACCTTATCCACTGGCTGTTTAAGAATTGGCAGTTGCTCTTCCAGCTTGTTTAATCCTTGGCAGGCAAATTCATTCACTACTGCAACTGTTACAAGAATGGTAGAGATGACTAATTACTTGGCTAGGGTTCGACATAGTAGCAACATCTGTTCCCAGCTTCTTGGAGCTAGAAATTAGTTTCTCTATTGGAACATACTTATGCTACTCACTTCCCTATGCTAATGTTGGTTCTGAGGATGGGCATTAGTTTGCTACATTTACAAGCACTGATTATGCAAGCGTGAAGACGACATGTTTAATGTCCTTCCTTTGCATGCAACTTTACAATAATGCACCTTGCTGATAAGCAGGCAATTTTCCTTAATTTTTTTAGAGGTGGAAAATTGCAAGAAAAGTAATTGAGAAAATATCTACTTGAATTTGATGTTCGGTGTGCTGGGATAAAACCATAGCTTCTTAGATCTATTAACTTCATATTTAGTTAACAGCAGTAGAATATGGATCCTCGGATTCATCAAGTCAAATATTTTACTCCCACAGGGATCATTCCTTTTACTGGAGTAGTTTAGGCCTGAATCTACACTGCTACAGTAACCCAGAAGAACCATGGAAATCAAGACCCTTTTCATACAGGAAAAAAGGCGTGGGAGCCACATTGTTCCTTGCTACCAATTATTACACAAAGGACATGAGATTATCGTAGTGATGCACTGCCCATGTTCTTGTAGGCCTTAGAGCAGGAGTGGGGAATGATTTGGTCTCCAACTGTTGCTGGACTGCAGGTTGCATCAGTTCCAACCAGTATGGCCAATGGTAAGAGATAATGGGAGTTACAATGCTCCCCAGGGCTGCCTCAGAGGTGTGTTAATTTAACACAACATGGTCCACATCAGAAGCATTGCAGGTTCTCACAGGCAACTTTAAGAGAATCTTCTGAGCAGGGCTATGACTCCAAGGAGACTGTGACTACTCCTGGTTAGAGGGGACAATCAAACACTGAAGTTGCCTTATAAGAGGAGCAGGGAATCCTATAGCCCTGGACAGTCCCTGGGATACAACTCCTACCATTCCACACCATTGGCCACACTGACCAAGAGTGATGGCGTTCAGCAACACTTGATAAGACAGATGTCCTCCACCCTTGCTTTATATGAAGTCACCACTATTGGGCCACCTATTCCAATTGGCAGTAGCACTGGATGTTCTCAAAGGGAGACCACAGCTAGCCATACTAGTCCTTTCAACGGAGATGACCACCTGTGTGCAGTACACATTCATCAACTCAACCAAGGCTCCTTCCCTGTATTGGCAGCTTCTCTTCAAAGCAACTCTTAATGTTTAATCATGTATCTGGATAGTTTAAAACAGTTACATCTAATCAACTAGATTGCATCTTCATTAGCATAACTCCATGTCATTACTCATAAATGCGGAGCTACTTACTTTGATGCTCCAGGTGAGTCAGAACAGGTTGCACACCAATAGCTGCAACAGTTGCTGCTTTCTTGATGCCCGTCTCTGCTGCATCCAAAATGGATTTAACAAGAGGATGGGCCTCTTTTGTTTCAGCATAGGTTGCTGAGACCTTATCATAGGCAGAGCTCACTAGTGGCATTTCTGCTATACGGACGACCACATCCTAAGCAAAGAAATTGGGGTTGGCATCATATCAGCCCACAGGTTTGCGGCAAGACAAGAGACACGTTAGGAAGCGAGTGCCGTTTCAACAAATGCAGGCTTGGCATCGAGCAGTCTTACCTGTTTTGAGCGGTCAGAGCTACTCCAACACCTCACAATTATTCTCAAGTGCAATGCTTTTGATGGAGAGAAATATTCCCTGAGATAACACTATCACCATGAATAGCTGGAGCCCTCCGAGGGGTTTGGAACAATACAGAAAAATAGATGCAATTGTATTTATATTTTCATCCACTGTTACAAAAACAAACAGTATAAAATCCCAGGATACAAAATATAGACCTTTAAACTAGGCTAATTTCACTTACTGGATCTATTAAGACAACAGGCATGACCCATCAAAGGCCATTTAATGCCCAGGTATAAAGGACAGTCTTAACCTGGCACCAGGCAGGCCTCAGTGGGGAGATCTCTCCATAATTGGGAAACCACACTGAGAAGGTCCTCCTCCTTGCTACTTCCCTCTGAGACTGCCATCCTTCCCCTTAGACACAAGGCAGGAATGGTCCAACTAGATTAGATGCCTCCTTCCACAACCCTGTCATGACGCGGGGCATTTCGGGTCTAGGCCTGTTACAGCCAATGTACAGGAGCAGAGAAAGGCACACTATTACATCACTGGAAAAGCTACAGGAGGGGGGAAATACATGTAAGTGAAGTACATGGACACTTTGTTCAGCAGCATGATCTCCTGTCGATGTTGCTTCAGAGGGCTGGGAGCTAGCTTTCCACCTTCGTACCTGAAATCAACAGACTGTTCTTTGGAAAAAGCTCTTTATTTTTCAGTGTACATCCAGCAAAGAAAGAGACTCCGAGCATGCACTTGAGCGATTAGTTGAACACAAAGGAGAGGCTATTTCTCAGAAACTTCCTTTGAGGAACCCTGGACCCCACCCCTGGGAGGGACCTTCTGGAGGTGGGCCATCTTCCAAGTTGGGCACCATCCCTCAGGTTGGCCAGTCCTTCTCTCCCAACATCATGGAATCAAGGATTGTACCAGGCTCATCTGGCTCCTGGTCCCATGCCCCCTTGCAGCAGCTGTAGACTCTGGCTATTCTCAGGGTCTGCCTGAACACCCAGAGAGGGCAACCTTGAGACAAACCCTCATGCCTCTTCCATCTCGATATCTGAAGGCTCCGTTTCTCCTCCACCATCAGAAGAGTCTGTCTCCCTGGCCCTGAAACACTCCCCAAGAATAACTGCCTCTCATCCCCAACACACTAAGAGCAACAGAGAGAGACCATTTTGGATGGCATCCCCATTTTGACCCAGCTGCTCATCATCAAGTGTAGCAGGGGTAATGTAACAGCCAAAATTTCTGAGATACCTCAAGTTCATCTCTCTTTTCTCACCCCCAAGGGGTTTTTTCCCCTTTTTGCCAAACAGTCTTTACTGTCAGCCACTAGAGAAAGAAATTTCTTCAAATATCCTTCACTGTTTTAGTGGCAGCTGCTGTGCAATACCTTGAAGAAAGAACATTAGGTCTGAGACATTCTGGAGGATGCTTAATGGGGGATGCAGCAAAAACCACCACTACCTGCTATTGGCAATCCCCACCACAAAGAAATGGCCATACAGTTCGGAGAAATGTAGTAAAATGGTTCTTCCAGTCTGACCTCCCCAGTCTCTCTGCCCACACAGAAGGTGGGGAATTGCAAGCTATTATCTGAGCATAGCTGTAAAACTCCTTGTGTGCAAACCAGCTCAACCCCACTCAGCGGCATTTCCCAGTAAACATACACAGGTTATCAGCCTGCAAATGTTTGAAAAGGACCAGACCTGCAAGATAATGAACCTTCTACTGGAATTTTAGCACTCTAAGGTAATTCTGAACTGCATAAAACAAAGGAATATACTAATTATTTCTTCACTGTCACTCCTTTACAGAACACTCAAGACAATGGGAATATCAAATAGCATTTAAATCACTATTTGGATTGTTGATTATCATAGTAAGTCCCAACTTGCTTTCATTCCACATACCATAGGAGTATTTCACATCAACCACACAGAGGATGTAAAGTGATCGCTGCACATGGAGGCTTTTTACAACTGAACACAATGAGACCTCCTTTGGAAAGCTGAGATTCCACACACATGCATTTTAAAAGTATGCACAATGATAGGGCATCTTTCCCCTCCACCTGCCTGAAATGAGGCTTAAGGAGGCATTACCGGGCTATAAATCATAGATGGTTTTGCACTGATGTCTCCAAGCCCCATAAACAATGGGATATTTACAGTATGATGTCTGCTCAGAAAACCCATTGATTTCCTCCCAGATAGGCTTGGGTACCCATTGACATTATGGAATATGTGGCAAATACCATCATCCTAAATATTCAGCATCCCTATAGCCTAGAAGTGCTTGTCTCAACAGTCCTTGGGGTAACCAGGCTCAGACATAAAGGGCCCAATCCTATGCATATTTAGACAGAAAAGCCGGTATGCCTTATGTTGGAAGTTTTCCATTCCCTAGAAGCAGAATGGAGGGAGAATCTGGCAACATAAACATAAAGTCTTCAGCATCACCCTGGCATTGTTTTCCCTCCTTTTCCCTCTGCCTTTTGGAGCTTCTTGCTTAATTCAGAGACTTCAAAATCTTGCCCACAATTTGTCTGTTTTGCATATTTGGCTGTTCCTAATACATGTATTGCCTGACTATGAAATTTTCTATTTAAAAGAAATCCAGTTAATTAGTAAATCATACATTTTAAAAGGAGTCTAATAAGACTAACTAAAACTTGTGCCCAAACAACATTAAGTTATTTTACCTGGCAGCTCTGCTTGCTAATCTCTGAAGAATATGCTTTTTCTGTGAAAGCCATGATGAACACAGGTGCTGCTGGAAAATGGGAGGACAACATACAAAAGTAGTTTAGGTTTGAAAGAACAAGGTCCATCTCACCTGGACTTCACTATTTTTCTACTGCCTTATGCACCAAGGATAGGGAACCTGTGAGGCCATGGGTCATTCTGACCTACTTGGCCAGGTCATCCCTTTCTCAAAATCCCTCTCTCTGCAGGTGAGTAGGAGATACATCCTCACTGTCAAGGAAGAATCAAAGCACCAAATGCAGAGTTTACAGATGGAGGACTTGCCCCAGCCCCTTCCAATTCCAAGTAGACCTCAGGTGGTATAAAAGCTCCATTAAGCAGGACTGTGGTTAACTGTGCCAGACTGCAGCATAACTCACCAGAAGGCCTTTGCTAAGGTTTGGCTGAAACCTACACGTTCTTTACTGATGCATTAGATGAGATGGGCAGCTTTTACTGTCTGTACCCATAGGTTCAGATATTGCGTGTATTTGCAGATTTTCTTGCATTGTAACCATGGGTTACCAAAGACTTGCATTGCTATGAAGTGCCCGAACATTCATTAAAGCTTCTCCTGAAATCCCTTATGTTACAGTTCATGTGGGCAGAGATCTACAGATAGTCTCGCTATGCGGTGCCACTGCTGCTCTTCAGATAACAGCTCTTCAGCAGCTACAGGCACACAAAACACCTGTCTGCAGGTAAGAATGGGCCATAGATCAGTGATGGGGCCATGCGGTACATACTTGGGGTGCCTGGATCAGGGCTGGGAAACACCTCCATCATCCTTGGAGTCTGTTCAGTCATCTCTCACTTCAGTTCATCTAGACCAGCCTTTCCCAACCTGGTGGCCTTTGGAGACATTTGGATCCCAACTCCCAGAATTCCCATCCAGCAGGGCCACTGACTGGGAATTCTGGGTGTTGTAGTCCAAATGTGTCTGGAAGGCACCAGGTTGGGAAAGGCTGGTCTAGAAACTGGGGACTAGATGGATTAAGCCCAACATGATTAAAGTAAGTTGGGATATCAATGCACATTGCATGTAATTTTCTGTTCTCATAATACATAGCAATACCTGTGGATGCTAAAGGGACATTCATGTGTTAGCATCTGAGCTCTGATATTACTATAGTGTCACAAGTATTGTGAGGTGCTACAGTACCACCACAGCTATGCCCAACCTGACCACTCAGTTATGATTGAAGAACCATTTGTTAGCCTTGTGGTCTACTAGAATATTCATGATTATGACCTTGCAACTTATTAAGAACATGTGACTCCTGCACCCAATGGGGCTTAAATTCTAAATAGAACAGCCATAAGATTAGAAATGTTACCATATTCTCTGGGGTAATTAAAGTCCGAGTGGAAGCTTTTCATAGGCACCTGGAAATACTGTCTTTCCATTAATTGGCAAAAACTGCCATTTCATTCCAGACTAACAGCATTTAAGCAGCTAAAGGGCCTTTCCCCACAAGAAAAGGTAGTACAACCAATCTTCCTTTTGTTTCCTTCATGCTTTTGAAAATGAACTGATTATCTAGTAAACTCTTAAGGGGTCCCATGGAGTAACCAAAGGTCTTTCTTTGGCTTCACACCAATAAGTTCCCCCAAACCCAATAAAGGCATAACTAAAATGCTTTTCCCACAATAGACTAGCATTCCCATAAAAGAGTCTCAGCATCTAGAAAGACTAGCCTGTGGCCAGTGGATCGAAAATAACTTATTTTCTAACAGTGCTGGGCCCAAGAGTAAGAAAGCTGGGGCAGGGCAGGGGGAGCTTTTCCCCACCCCTTCAACTCACTGTAAATGCCTGTAGTAATCCATTTGAAGTAGTAGAGAATCACCTTTCTAGATACTTTGTAGATGCCTAGCTAGAATGTTAAACTCTGTAGTTTTGGACACCCCATACAGAACAGCTGCTGTAGAACCAACAGCTTTTTTCCATTGTTTTTAACAGTTCTGGATGTTTTTTAAAGTCTTTGGTAGTCATTTTTCATCTAAAAGGAGACCTGCTAAAGAAAATTACACTACCCTAGCCTGCAGGTTATTGCTTGCTTTTAAGTAATTATTAGTTGCTTCTTATAACTTATTCCAGTGTACTGGAAATTTTTTTTATACTTAACAGAATCAAGACATGAACTGGTGCATACATGAGCAAAAATACCTTCAACAGTATAACAAAGTCAACAGGGGAAAACTGAGTCATGGTCATACACAGAAACAATAATTCCTTATTTTGTTTCTATAAAACTACCTTACACAAAAGCACAGTACATTACCTATTCTCTTACAGCACTTCCAACTTACCCTTTACTTCAGCAGAGTTTACAAATGCTCTGCACAACTGCTTCTCTGCCTTTATATAAGATGGTGCAAAGTACTCCTATTGGATACCCAATGAAGCCATCACTTTGGGAAGGTAATCAGAAAACAGAATTCTCTAGTTTAAATTCCAAGAAGCTTGGGATTGGTTTCTGGGCTGATTGACTCATGAGGTCATCAACGATGCCAG